AGCACAGGCTGAAGTTGTTGTGATTCTTAAGCAACGCTCCCTCTGACCCAGGATGCTTCCTGTACATGTCAGACACCTGAGAGTTAGTAGATCTGTAGTGGTTGCATTGCAGGTTGCATTGCATTCCAAGTCAGCTTGGAAGGAGTGCACATCAGCTCTGGGAACCTCCCCAGATAGGAGGAGGGGATCCCAGAGGGGATCCACACTGCCCTGTTGGATATGTGTCGCATCTTTCCCAGGGAGCTCTCTCCTGATTTCCAATGATGTTAGAAATGCTTTCCCTCTTCTAACTGGGCACAAGTGCTGTTGCTGGTGGACAAAATATTCCAGAGTCCACAAATGAGTGAAACCATTTGCTATGTGTCTCTGAGCCTGCCTCCTTTCATGTACCATCAAGTCCTCCAGGTTCATGCAGATCACTGCAAATGACAAGATGTCACACTGTTTTTAAAGGATGGATAGTGTTGCATTGTTGGTGTTTGACGTGTCTTCTCCACCTGGTCGTCTCTTAATGGACACCTCGGCTGCTTCCATAGCCTCACTATTGTGTGTAGTGTTGCAGTGAGCATGGGGGTGAAGATGTCACTTGGGCACACTCATTTCATTTCTTTGGATATATACACTCTGAAATGAGATTGGTAGACCACATGATGGTGATGTTTTGAGTTTTTGTGAAATCCTCTTACTGGTTTCCAGTGGTTTTCCATGCTCATTCCCACTGATTGTGCATTTGCGTGTCTTCTTTTAACAAGTCTTTGAGATCCTTTGCCCATGTAGTAATCTGGTTATCTGATGTGTGTGCTATGTAAATACTTAGTACTTGTAAAGGACTACTGGGTGCTCCTATGGACTTTGTGATGCTTTCCACCTGCTTTGTGGAACCAGATAGTGTTGATGGTTTCTGGCACCTCTGGGGGATGTGAGGGTGGATAAGGACTGATGGATCAGCCTGTGTATTCATTTCCTGGGGCCCCTGTACCACAGATGGCTTGGCTTGGCTTGGACCAGCTGAACTGTATCCTTGCCTTTGTGAGGCCAGAGTTCGCAATCGGGGCTGCATCAGGGCCAGCCCAGGCTCCCACCAAGGTCTCCAGGGAGGATTCTTCTCTGCCTCTCACAGTGTCTGGTGACCCTGACATTCTTGGACTGGGATGACATGACTTTTTCACCTTTGCATGCCCCACCCCAGCCTTGTCCTCTGTGTCTGCGCTTCACAGGGGTTTCTTCTCCTAAGAAGGATGCAGTCGCATTGGATTAGGACTCAGGCCCAGCAAGTAGGGCCTCATCTAAACTAATTATATCCACAAAGTTCCTACTTCCAAATAGGTCATGTTCGCAGACACCAAGGCTTTAACTTTCAAGGAAGACACAATTTGACCCATAACAAAAATACGTGTGGTCTAATTTTTTTTAAGATGTATTTTTATTGGAAAGGCAGATTTATGGAGAGAAGGAGAGACAGAGAAAGATTTTTCATCTGCTGATTCAGTCCCCCAAGTGGACACAGAAGCCAGAGCTGAGCCAATCCAAAGCCAGGAGCCAGGAACTTCTTTTGGGTCTTCCACATGGGTGCAGGGTCCTAAGGCCTGAGGCCATCCTCTCCTGCTTTCTCAGGCCACAAGCATGGAGCTATATGGGAAGTGGAGAAGCCAGGACATGAACTGGTGTGCGCAAGGTGAGGATTTAGCCACTGCGCCGTAGCTCTGGGTCTTGTAGTTCTGTTTTAGTTTTGTCTTTAGGCCTGATTTCATTTATTGAAAAAATAGAATGATAAAAGGAGAGAGGGAGGGAGGCAGACAGAGATAAGGAAGGAAGAAGGGGAAAAGGGAAAGAAGGAAGAAAGAGAGTTCCTCTATCCACTACAACAGCCAGGATTGTGCCAGGACAAAGCCAGGAGCCCAGAGCTCCATCCGGGTCTCCCACAAGGGAGACTTAAGCACTTGTACCACCCTCTGCTATCTTCCCAGGCCCATTAGGATGGAGTTGGATCAGAAGTAAAGCAGCCAGGACTCACGCTGGCACTCCAGTACGGGATGCTGGCATTGCAAGTGGCAGCTCAGCTCGCTGTACTACAGCTCCAGCCCTGATAGGGTTTTTTTTTTTTTTAATGACATCAGTAAACATAGCTGGACCAAATAAGCCATTTGTATGCATGCCACATGACTTGGATTAGCAGTCTAAAGTAATGAATTTTTATTTTTCCACTTGCCTGATGCTGCTGAGTAACAATCAAAAAGATCCTCTTACAAATTATCTTGGCTGTAGTTGTTACCACAAGTTTCCTGGCCTGAGTCACCTCGGAGTCATTCAACATGGGTGGGATCACAGAGCTTAGCAGCAGAGTTAGCCAGATGCTCTGCGATAGCTGAGCACCCCTGCCCATTCTTTCCCTGCAGCAGGCAGGCACCAGTGAGAAAGAGATGGGAAGCATAAACGCCCCATTGCCATTGCTCGCCGCCCCACCACCCCAGGGCACGCAGAGTTCATGTTTACAGCATCCTAAGCCTTCCAGCAGGGTGCAGGAGAAGGGGGAAGAGAATTTTTCCAAGAATGGTTCAGGTGCATTTGAGAGAAAGCTCACAGAAACGAACCGTTTCAAATTCTTCTCCAGAGCACAGTACCACTTGAGATGACAATACTAAAGACTCACTTGTAACCCATGTCAGTGCCCTTATTTGGTCCAGAATGGAGTCATCCGCTTCCTGTCTAGGAAGTGTGATCCACTCTACTTCTGCAAGTTCAGGTTTCCGCAGTACACCGTGAGACACTCACACTCCTGGCTCAAACCAGCATTTCCAGTCTTGTACTGAACATCACTGCAATGCCCGACACCTAACAGATGCTCAGTGTGTCCAGTGAACAGCCAGCAGACTGCACATGCCGTGTTCTCTGATATTTACCTGAGTAGAAAATGCTAGAAATGGCTATTTTTGGGATTTGGCAGTCCAGGTCTTGAGTTTTATGAACTGCCTGCTCCAACAGACTGCATGAAGTTGGAACGTAGATTCTGGGTTACTATTCCAGTTGCTAGGAGACAAAGTATTAGATTTCTCAGAGATGTGTCAACAAATAGTGCCTTTCTTATGTTAGAAGTCATCTGTCTCTTACAAAGAACAAGCCCAGGAAACAGAAAAGTGTGAAGCCTCTCCCTGTTTAGGAATGAGAACTTAGGTACCTGCACATTTTTTCGAATAGTCTACATTCCAGGTCAAAATCCAAATTCAATTTTTCCCTGTATGCTCGGAGGCGAAGCTGGGAGGACCCTGTGGTTTAGGGCAGAAAACAGGGCCCTGCCACTGCTCGCCTCCTAAGTCGGGCTGCCTCACTCAGTTCAAAGGAACATGAGCTAGCGTCAGGGGATCCAAGAGCAGCTTGCGATGGCGGTGCCCAATTGGGCTACCCATTTGTTTGATTTAGTAAATCCCACTTGCTGTCATTATACACAGTGACCTAAAAAGAAATATTATTCCCCAGAGCGCCTTTGCGGTTGTTTGTTTAAATTAAGTTTCATTTAGATTTCATCTTCACCAAATCTTCAGAGAACCAGGCCAGCTCCCCCTGATGAAGTGCCATGCATGTGAACCAATGAAAGAGGCTGCCAAATTGTGGAGGACCCCTCTTGAAGCAAGGGAGCCCCGTAATGTCACACTTGGGTGGCACAAGCCGAGTGCTGGATGATTAGTTTATGGTCTGGATCGTTGTGTTTTTATTACACTCATAAAATCTGTGTTTCTCCTCATTTTCGTAATGGCTTCCATGAGCGTCTGCACCTTCCAAAGGCACATTAAATGGTTCTGTGATGGGGCGGGAGAGGGCAGGAATACCTGAGAAGCTGGAAGTGAGGAGCATGCTCTGAATCCCCACTTGGGGGTTGGAATGCCACGAAGGAAGAAGGAAGCACACAGGTAGATTGGAGCCCCATTGATACCTACTGTGAGCATATTTGTAAGCGGTTCAGTAATTTCCACTGACTTCCAGCATAAATGACACACAGAAAGGCACCTCAAGGATGTTGACCGTCCCTATCATAGCAGGATATTAATCAGTGTTTCATATTGATTGGAAAATATCATGGCCATGCCTGATTTTTAGAATCTCACGTGGCATGAATGATAAGAAAATATTGTGTTGGAATGTGCGGATTTAAAAAATATCTATGAACAAGTACTTCATTGGCTTTTTGTATTTGTACACATATTTTAAAGAAAACAAAGCTCTCTTGGATTCCAAATCCACATTAAATGCAGTTGCTGATAACTATTTCTGTGAAGTGGACATGCAGGAAAATGCTTGTCTTCACACTGCAATCTAACATGCTGATAAAACCTACAAATGCCGCCCCCTCCAGCAGGGTTCCCCAGAGAAACACACAGTGCAGTGTCATACACGCTGCATGTATCAGACCAGGGCACCAAGTTTTCAGTTGTGTGTGCAGAAAAGTTGATTAGGATGGCATGAGTCAACACGTTTTTATATGTCCCTGGTATCTTGGGGGCCATCTTAATGGGGCCACCATGAATTACTGAATCCATTTTGAGCAGCGTTGCAGTATTTGGTCCCAAGAACGTGACATTTCAGCAGTAAAGAAATGTCGCTTCCGGTAAGGTACCTGGTGGGAGACCTTTTGGAGATGGGAAGGGAGGCTATGGATCCATGTCTGATAGTGTGGCCAAGTGGTCAGCTTTTTTTTTTTTTTTTTTGGCTCTATATTCTAGGAAGTTCCCTTTAAGGATCAAAGGTTGAGAAGCCAAACAGCCAGGGAGGTGTTCAAGGATAGAGAATAGCTTCCCGGAAATTTAACATTTCATGGAACATGCAAAATAGGGGCCAGGGTGTTCAGAGAGGCACAGGCAGCTGCAGAAACAAAGTGTCTGATGAAACTGATGGGTTTCCTGTGAGTGGAATAAATGTGGCCTGCATCTCTGAGAGTGGTCATTAACGCATCCTGCGGTGCTGAGAGAGAGTCATAGTGTGGCCACCGGCCCTTCTTTTGTCTGCAGATGGTGTGGGAGAGCGGCTGTGTGGTTATCGTCATGCTGACACCCCTCACGGAGAATGGCGTCCGCCAGTGCTACCACTACTGGCCCGATGAAGGCTCCAACCTCTACCATGTCTATGAGGTACTTGGGTTCTCAGCACCTGGGGTCAGGCCCCACCCACCCTCCCGTTCCGGGACATGGAGAGGTAGATCCCAGAATCCCTAGTCCTCTGGCAGCCCTGGGCAGTCACTCACAGACCAAGGGCAGTGCCTGCTGTCCTCGGGGAGCTCCAGGTGTCTCGTGGCCAGGAGTGACTGCCACACTGGGCTTGGCTGTGGGGTGGGAGCTGGATTCTAGGGTGATGGCATCATACATCTGAATGCCGGTGGTATTTCAGAGACTTCCCTTCCTGGGGTGCGCTGGGCCTTGACGTCCAGCCTGTGGTTTAAAGGAACCCCGCTAGTATTTTGATTGCTTATTGATTCCGTGTACTGAGCCGTGTGGTCTTCCCCATGCCTGAGCTCGGGCTGTCGTTGTCTGCAGCATTCTGACCTTTTTGTCCGAAGATAACCCACTAACCTAACCTGTGTGTTTCTCATTGGGTTTCCTACCCCCATCAGGAATAAACTTGCATTTCAGCAAATACCGGAATGTACCTTGTGTCTCTTCTGCATTCAGATTAGTCAGAATGGGAAGTCCCATTGAAGTAAAAGCTTCAATGTGAGCCCTAAAGGATGCCACAGTGGCTTTTTTTTTTTTTTTTGTCACTGGCAAGTAGGTTCAAATGGGATGAGTGACTGAATCCAGGTCCACACCGCTGAAGCTAATGGAGTCTTCTTTTCTGCACTGGGTGTATGCCACGCTGGGCAGAATTTCAAGGAGAGAGGAACCACTGGGAAAACATGTACTTGCATTGCTATTTTTATTCGAAAAATTTTTCTTCGTTTATTCTTCTTGGAGATTTCTCACTTAGAGATATAAAAGAGCTAGAATAGTTTTGAACTGTAACATATATAGTTGTGTGACTTCCAAGCCCTTAAGCGGCATTCAACACACAGACACATACAGTGACACATCTGTTGCATGAACTGTGTTCAAACTGAAGTGGGGGTAGGGTCTAAGGGAGCCCGCAGCTGCTCTGTGAAGTCTGTCCACTTTGTCCCTTCTGTCCATTCATGATGCCTGTGCCTGTCTGTCTCCCTTCCATCCTCGCCCACACCCAGGTCAATCTGGTCTCCGAGCACATCTGGTGTGAGGATTTCCTGGTGAGGAGCTTCTATCTCAAGAACCTGCAGACCAACGAGACACGCACGGTGACCCAGTTCCACTTCCTGAGTTGGTATGACCAGGGAGTCCCTTCCTCCACAAGGCCTCTCCTGGATTTCCGAAGGTAAAACCCAGAGCCCACTGGCAGGGGAAAAGTTGTAGAGAACAGATGCCAAGAGAGGAGGGAGCATTCGCTTCTGGGATGCCACTCGCTCTAGGATGTACCACCTGCGTACAACTGGGAAGGGAAGCAGAAAGGAGGAAAAAAAAGGGTGGAGTGGGAGGAGTATTATGTTAGAGGTGCGTGTTAATGGTGAGGTACTTTCTAGCTTTAGTGGCATAGCATATGAGTTGGAGAGTAGGTATTGTAGAACCATGGGATTTCTGATAAACTTACAAAGAGTCTGAAAGTTTATAATTCATGGAATATTGATGAACAAAACCCTTTTTTTTTTTTTTTTTTTAGTTTGGGCAGCTCATCTGCTTGCCTATAATAATGAGCTTTAGCAAATGTAGGCCCAGATTCTAAAATGGCTAACCTTAGACAAAAGCCTGGATATAGTTAGCACATGACTGTATGTATTTTTAGTGCAATTTTGAAACTGACAGCTTATATATATGCATATATTTATCCATTTTTCTTCCTATCGTTGCTCTAGCCAATCACCCAGTAAGTTGTCTTGATTTGAAAGTGTATTCATTGAACTATTGAAATGAATGCTAGACTCTGCCTTGCAGGAAGGTATTGACAAAGAAAAAGAAAAAGCCCAATTTAAGCCAGAAGCCTAACAGGGGTAATGGTTGGTTGGTGTCGGCTGTTTAATGGCAGTCCGTGACTAGATGGCCACGTAAAGCCGTGCAGCACCCTCAATGCCTCCCTCTATGTAAACCTGCCTGCAGAGGGAAAAATGAACATCCAAACCTGGAACTCAGTGCTAGAGGAGCTTGCGGTTGAATCCAGTGTAACGTGTTATCCTGAAGTGACTTATGTCTGAACACTCACTTTTCCTTGAGTCTGCAGTCACATGATTCAAGGGAGGTTGAAAAGACAAGCATTGCCATGAAGATGGAGTTTTAGATTTCTCTGTAAATTTCTTGACTGTGTGTTACAGATGCCTAAGAGTATTATGACACAGTTTCTTCTGCCTTTTAGTCTATTTTGAAAAGCAAACAAACAAAAAACCATAGTCATTGGAATCCTTTGGATCAGCTAGCATGTGCAAAAGCTCAAGGAGACACATGAATTGGGTGTCACCTTCCATGACCCAAGTCCTGCCCTGTCACCTCCCCTAGGATGCAGAGATGGATTCAGAATCATGAACACATCATAAAGCAGCGAATATACACAGCTCCTTCCTAACCCATCCTCATTTCCTGGCCATTTACGTACATTTTTCTTAGCATAAATTTCTTTCTGAAGATATGCTACATACAAATCAGACCTATTTCCTGAAACAGAGTCTCCAAATAAAGTCATTCTTGGTGAGATAGATGTAGCTACAAAGACAGCAGTTCATCTTCATGTCTGTCTGATGCTGCTCCGACGTGTTTGGGCATATATGCATGTGGGCCTGGTCCCGTGCCTGCATCCATATATGGCATTGAACACATACGTCACCAACCCTCTGTTTACGATTCTTCACGAAGAAAAATTGGATTCTCCAAATTCCCCTGTTCTAGGGACTAAGGTGGGGAGGGGGGCGAGAAAGTGGTTGTCAAAGGGAAAACCAACCCCAACCAGTGTGAGAAGCCTCATCGGAGCAGGAAGCTTTCCTTGCTCGCCATGTGTGACACTGCCCAGGCTGTCAGGCCAAGCTGCACCTTACATGCATCTCCTGGATGACTGGAACCAATGGTCACATACTCAGAATGCCTCACACTTAGACACATGTTGCTGAAGGGTGATTCTCTATGTGAAAAAGCTTCCCCAGTCCCACCACCACCAAATTCCAGCGACCAGAAATGGTGGGGAGGCAGGGAGAGTGAAGAGGGGGATACAGCGGCATCTGAGGACACCAGCCTCTTCGGGCTTCTTTGGACAATGGACCAGACACCCTCACTCTGGTCTGGTGTGTTCACCAGGCACCGAGACGTAATTAAATGCTTCTGGAACCCAGAGGGAGCCCATTTACACTTTAAAGAGAAGCTGCTAAAAGATAATTAGCATCACATTTGAGGGCCTCGCTTTTACAACTTCTACCTCTCCATCTCTGTCTTCTCCTCTCACTTCTCGCTGTGTGCAATGGCATCCACTAACGCTGCTCACTGTAAAAAATGGACAAACCCTTACTCTGCCAGCTAATTAGCGGTGGCCAGTGTCATTTTTGTGATGTTGCAGCTAGTAATATGAGCCCAGTTGCATAGTCACAAAAGTGATCATTGGAAACTGTGATTGTGCTACGGGGACATGTGGGAAGCCCCCTTGTGAGCCTCTAACGACCTCTGACCTTTGCTTGCCGTTGGTTTGCTTGGCGGTCCGTTCTCACTCAGTGACCTATGGGTTGGTTTGTATGACTAATCATTCTCTCTCAGTGGATTTCTGCTGTCGAAGTCTATATCATACCAATTTTTCTTAATGTTGGAGACTTTTTGCTTGCTGCTGATTTGTGCTAAGAGAGTAAACGGAGACCACTGCGCATTGCTCATCTCCATGAAAAGTCTGCAGTCTCCATCTTAGGTCAACGGGACGAACACTATGGCTCCAGATGCAATGATCCGCTTTTCCTCTTTGTGATGTTTCACACTGTAATGACCCAGGTGCATGGTTCCCTGCAGACCCAGCTCTCAGCCGTGCCACCACGTGTATTTCCGCTGCAGGTCTCCTGGATTGCTTGTGGTTGTTTGTCAATAACTTTTATCGTGAGGCAGGCAGGGCTGATAGGGATATCAAAATTACAGCGAAACCTTGCCAACAACCTGTCCCTCCAGCCAGTCCCAACACGTAGGAAATCATGCCTGCCGTATACCGTAAAACCCAGACAGGAATCACCGAAGTGAAGCAGCGAGTGACAGCCAAGGTAGCCAGAACTGTAATTTACATTTTGCCATATCTCTTCGCCAGAAAGCTTATTCCTACATTTTGCCAAAGAGATGGCATTCCCGTACCACTGACTTCATACATTGGTTCTTTCTTAAACCGGTACAGTTGTTTTTTTTTTTTTTAAAAAAAAAAAAAAGAGGTCTCTGGTTATTGTGTTTGCTTTTAAACCCATTTTTTTGTGTGTGCTTGGTCCCTTCAAAATACTGACCGACATACAAACACGTAGGCGTTGAGGTCAGTCCTGAAAAACAGACGGAACTGTCTAGTGCGAAGTGTAATAGTGGCAGGGAACCAGCTGTGGTGCTCCATGTTCACAAGATTCCGTGACTGGGAGGGCCTGTAGAAGTGAAACTCTCCAAGATCTTCACGGCTTGGCCCTACGCATACACACACGTGCGTGTGTGCACAGGAACGCACGTCACTCATGCCAGTCCCCGTGCATATACACGTGACGGCACACAAGCCTTCTGGACTGGTGGGCCTCAAAGTCCCTCTGCACCTTGAATCTTTTAATGTAAGCTCACTTTGCCTTTGCAACCTGAGTCGGGAGTGGGAGATTATAGGAACAGCAAGGAGTGGGCCTGTTCAACCTGTTTATTCTCTAACAAACAAGAAGACATTCTGGTATATAAATGCTTATGTTTACCAAGAGTTCATTTCTGCTTCCTCTGCCTTAAGAGCTCTCACAGAAATGGTGACACGAGGTTGCTGACTTCCTTTGCCCAGGTTCCAGAGCCTTCTTCATTTTGGAGTGGGTCCTCAAGGTTTAGGTGCTGCATCCCTTCATGGGCAAGTAGGCAGCAAAAGATCAACTTTGCTAAACATTTTTGGAGCTTTGAACATGTCCTTCCTATGGTGGGAGCATCTTACCGAGGCTCTGCCTGCCCCTTAAAAGCTCCCATCATGCTATGCAGGTCGAAGGGTTCTGACTTGTGTCACAGTACCTTGTTCTATGAACTCCACAGTAGAAGTGGAGAAAAAAAAGAGTGTCCTCTGTCTGGGCTCCATGATGCTGAAGTGTCTACTCAGTTCCACCAGAATGTTCATTTTCCCTTCTTTCTGGTGCACCTGTTCCTCTTGGCTTGTTCACAGCAAAACGACCATTGATTAAATTTTCACTTTTGAATGACGAAAGTGCTAAGTGGACCAGCCTTTGGGAAGAAACATAGTCTCATTTCTGATCTAAGGACCACATGTTTTCTGTGCTGCTGCTTTTGAAACTTCTCATTTATGTCCTATTTATTGTAGGAGTGACTAAAATTGGAACACATACCTCCATGGCATGTATTTTTTTTTCTTCCAATAAACAGAGATCTTGTCTGTAAATTTCTTTGCACGGAATTATCTTCCTGAGAACTTTGATGTCCTTTGTAAACCTATATAGAGATTTTGCTGGATTTCAAAAAAAAGTGAAATGAGTTACAAATTGGTTAGTAACATTTTAAATATATTCTAATTATTCATTTTTATGCTCCTGATATAAAGTTTGCACAATGCTGTGTCTTTCAAACATATTCAAATTTATCAAAATGATAAAGACTTGTTTTGGAATTAATCAAGGTTTCTCTGTAGTTTGGATATCCTTGCCACAAAATAACAGACCAAAGCAGATCTCTCAGACGCTGCTTTTAGGCAATACCAGGTATTAAATTCCAATATGGATGCAAGAGATTTTAAGCATAGCTGGTTGCAAAACACACAAGTGTTGGTGAAGAAGTTAGACACTTGCTTTAAGTCTATGTCTGATAACTCCATTTTGAAAAGATAAATAAATTATAGAAACGGTGTGTGTGATTTTGTTTTGTTTGTCTAAGTAAGCTATGGCAAAATGGTTTCAGTGATGCATACATTTTGCTTTGGCTGATTAATTAATTTGGAGAACAGAGTCTTTAGTCCATAACTATAATTTGTATGTCTCTTTTTATTTCAGAAAAGTAAACAAGTGCTACAGGGGCCGTTCTTGTCCAATAATTGTTCATTGCAGGCAAGTAAAACTTTTAGCATGGATTAAGAAGTTTTTGCTGCTTCAGAGATAAACTATGCAATTAAATACTGAGGTTAAGCTTCCTAATTGCTGAATGAATATATCTAACTGGCGTTTCTAAAGGAAATCAAAAATGCAAACTTAATTTTCGATGCTTGTCTATTTATTGACTAAATAAAACTGGCTGTTCATTCCCTTTTACCTCTAAGAGCTTCACCTGCTATGTTCAATTTCCGGCAAGCCAGTGGGAGCTGTGTAATATAATCTGCTTGTATGCTTCATGTCCTGTCACCTCCTGTTTACCAAAACCCTCATGATGCCACCACACAAAAATTGTTGAGACAACATTTTTTTTTTCTTATTGCATTGTCTCAACCAAGAAGTACATTCAGCAGAGGTTTGGAACCCTTATAGACAAGGTGAAAAAAAAATGCTTAGGGCCACCATTGAAGAGGTCATTCCCAGAGGCATGCCATTTCCAGTGTGCAGGTGCATCTGAGCCTTTCATGACTCATATATCCCTGAAGTAGGTTAAAATCCACAAGTGAAATCGGACTCGCCTGGAACAAACTCTTCTAAGGACACTGTTTCTACTGGACTCAACTGTTCTGAGTAAACACCTCATCCTTCGTTTTTCTCGAACTGTCTTATAGGGTGCCCCTCTCTGCCTGCAGCACAAAGGGGATGTTTCCAAATCTGTCCATCCAGTCAGTAAGTGTGTCTGACTGTAAGACAGGAAGACGAAACCAAACATGGGTTGGTACCCTTAGAAAATAAAACAGATACTCTCCTACACATACATGGACCAAGACAGACTACAGTTAGTATTTGTGTGTGAACTCTACCTAGGAGAGATGTGAGAAAATCACTGGGCAGCAAGACCATTCAGCTCGGTCATTGGTACCCTACAGTGTGGACTGACTGGTGAGCAAGGCCTCCCTTCCACAATGACATAGCAAAGCACTCTTCAGGAGCTGTGTGTGTTTCCAAAGGCAGCTGCCTCCAGCCGTTTGTGGAAACACAATCAAGCCAAATGTACAGATCTTAGAGATAGGTGATCCACCTATAAGGAGAGACTTGGAAGTGATTTCTGGAAACGACAGGCCAGCAGCCAAGTCAGAAGCTGAAAGCATGGTGGTTGGCCAGTTCCACCACCTTTGAAGTCTAGAAATGGAAACACTGACTTTCTTAAAAGTTAACAGTCGATTTTGCCAGGATGCCGCACAGGAAAGCAGTTACGGGTGAGCATGTAGCCTGTGAGGTGGAAAGAAGCCTCTCTGGAAGGCGTGTGATTCAGTGGCAGCATCCTCCAGGGGGAAGGATGTGGCACAAGTTCCCAGGAAGAAAGGATGGCGCTGGGGCTGCTTCTCCCCCCACAACCCAAGGGGACTTTTCAACTTTCACACTGGCTGCTGTTGAGACATTTCAGAACATTTTTACACCTCTAGTCCAGATGGTAAACATTCCAGTTATAGCTGGTGGGATGAGGAAGAGACAAAACGAGTGCACCTTTTAAAGAATGTAATTAAAGGAGGACATGTATTTCCAAATCGGAGAGGGAGGACTCGCTTCTGCAAAGAGCAGACCTGCAGCCCAGGACCATGGGCTGGAAGTGCACCTGCCAACGGGATCCGGCAGCATCCACTCTCCTGCCCCAGGAATCATCCAGTCATCTTGGAGAAAGTGTCTGGCAGACACTTTGAATATCAATGCCACCAACTCTGACACAGTCCAATATTTCCTTCTTTCTTTTCTTTTCTTTTTTTTTCCCCCTTACCAAATTTATCACATCTCTGGTCAAAGAGGGGGAGGGAGTAGAGAAAGCAGCCAATCTCCCAGAGTACAATAGCTAATCCCCAGGAGCTGTGTGGAGGGCTTAACGCTCTCTTGTTCTCCTTGCTCCTCCCCCTGGTGGCTCTCTCCCCATCAATCCCCTACTTTCTTCCTCCCTCTTTCAAATCCGTCTTCCAGGCCCCACTTAAGCATAAAGGAAGTAAATTGTCACTGGCTTTGTTGTGTGTTTGGGGGTTCACTGTGGACAGACAGCGTTTTCATTCTCTCTCCTTCTGTTGACAGTGACGGCGCAGGCAGGAGCGGCACCTACGTCCTGATTGACATGGTTCTCAATAAGATGGCCAAAGGTGAGACTCAGAAGTCTGGCTGCTTTGTTGTGGCTCAGAGACAGGATGGGGTTGCTATGGCAACACAGGGTGTAATATTCACAGGAGGCCTTGGGGAAAAAAAAAATTAGCCGATTGTGGCTCCCCTTTCCTGAATCATATTAAGGTGATTTGCAGCAAGCACGTTTGTTTTGCTAGATCCATCCTTTGTGGTCAGCCTGAATGTTTTCGGCACATAGTAGGTCCTCGAAGGTCTTTTTGGTGCATGGAATGGGGTTAGCATCAGGGCTGAAGAAAATGCAATCTTTGAGTCTTCAGTGATGTATCAGGTCGGAATCTCCTTAAAATAGTTCGTATCACCCTTGGCTGTTAGGAAAACAGCAGGATACAGATGTTAAGTCACACCACAAGGCTTTACTAGTGATTGCCAAGGAACACCTATCACCTCTCTCGGACATGGATCTCAGCGCCCTTGGCCTGCACCTCCTGTCGAGGAGAACCTGAGCCCCTGGACCTCCCCTCACTGTAATGGCACCCGGTGTCTTGGGCAGCAGGAAGCATCCCGCACAGCAGCAGTGTATGCCCTGCAAGACATGCCAGCGTCTTCCAGGTTGCCCTGCTGCCAGGCTTTTATCGCTGCAGCCAAAGTATCCAGTCCCCCATCCCCACCCCCAGGGCCCCGTTCCCCTGTTCAAAGCTGAGCGTGGGGGTTGGGCTGTTCCTGGGTGAGCTCAGGGACAGCAAACCTGCAAGGTCATTTCTAATGTGTCTGGCCGGGTGACTTTGTGGAAGAATTAGTATTCTGTCTGCCTCTGTTTGCTGGTCACTGTGCTCACTGGCCCTCAGATGCGTGCGCGGTTCCCAGGGAAGGAACTCTCCATCTTTCTGTCACCCAGCCTTTCCTATTCACTTGAAAGGATACTTCGTTGTCCCTGTTAATACCCAGTAAGTGTCCCGTGGAAGCTGGGAGACACTGAGGCAGGTGATATTTTTGTGGTCTCTTTTCCTCCTGAGGATATAAAACATTCTTCCTACACAGATACACACACAGACACGAAGAGTCATCCAGAAGTTGGTGGAAAATGGGAATTACGAAAAAGGATGCATAGATCTCAAAAATGTTGCACCCCAATAAACTTATCTTTTAATCCCATTCTTCTATAAATTGTCCGAAGCTCCCTCTGTAGACCCCTCTACCTTCTGGGGACCCCATTCTCCATTCTCTGCCTGGTGGTGCGACCAATACTGATAATAGACAGTGTTCATCCACTGCACACAGATGCCAGTCATTCTCAAAGAGGTATTTTTCTTGTTCTATCTTCTCGTGGCTAAAATAAGTCAACAATGAAACAGATGACATCCTTAGCCTCGGGGTACAGCTGAGTGAAGATGAAACAGCAGCCCATGGCTTCCCTAGCACCAGAGGGCTTGAGTCAGTTATCTGAAATCCTGTGTGGGATGATGACCAAGTGCTGAGGCAAGAACTCAAACTCCACATGGCACCCTCCTCCGTGGCCACCACCCCATGACTCCAGGCTCTGATCGCAGATGCAGATTGTTGGGGAGAGAATGAAATTGGCTTTTATACCAACACATTTGTTCTACGTGTGCTAAATCAGCTTAGTGGCTGGGATGCACAAAACAAACCAGACAGCGAATACTGTGTGACTGCATTCATTCCTATCTTCGGTTAGTTTTTAGAGAAACACAATTTTTACCCCCCGAGAGTTCCTATTTTTCCCTTGCCTAGGAATGCAGCTCTTTCTCATCAAATGCCCCTTTCCCTTGGCACATCAGCAGTTCCTGGAGCTCAGAGCCCACTGCAGAAATGACCCATCTTCCCTCAAGCATCTGCTGGCTCCCCCTGGGTCCGGCTCACACACACACAAACATGCGTGCCTGCTAGGAAGGGAGAGTGCCCGCTGAAGAACGCAGGTCCTCTCACTTCCGTGTTTGTATGTTGATTTTAGATGAAAACTTGGCTCGTGCCAAGAGAAGGCCAGACCAAGCCCCTGGGACAGAACCTGGCTGTTTGGTGGCGGCGGGAGTTGGTGTTTCAGACTGTAGGTCCTGGCCCCTGGGGGTCTCTTCCTTGGAGGAAGGAGATGACGTAACCGTGAGAGCACCGTGGTGGCCATTGGCTGGCTCCACTGTAGCGTAGGATGTCAAATTCCATTTGGAGCGTGGGCTCAGCAAGCAACAATGTGCGCCCAGCCATGTGGAACTGGCCGAAGGGGGCAAGGCTCGGACTTTTTCTGAGATTGGTCACCCCCTCTTTCTGTTCTTGACCTGTTCCTCTCCCTCAGGGAGGTGGGGAGCGTGTGGGATGTGAAATCCTCTGACCCGCGGCCCGGGACCCTTGGTCTGAGCCGAGATCAAAGGGCAGGAGGCCCCTCCGCCGGCTGAGGTGGGCCTTTCCCAGGCCGCCACCCCAAGAGGCCCGCCAGGGTTTTGTCCCATGCGGCCGGGACCTTCTTTGTCTGGCCTGAGAAGCCGGAGGCCTACGTTGCAGATCCAGCGCTCATCAAATGATCAAAGGCCCCAAGCTCTAGACATGAAGGCTTTCTTCCCATTTCCCTTTCTTAAAAGGAATGAATTGCTCACGCCCTGAAGAATGCCTCTCCAAAGCTTGGCTGCGCCATGCCGGCACTCCCGGGTCTGAGCGCTCCAACCTGCGCACAGGGCCTCAGCCGCAGCAGCGTTCAGCAGTCTTTCAGGGATTAAGGCCCTGGGACCTGGTGCAAGGGCTGGGAGAATACACTTGGAATAATTTCAGTTCTTTCTCCACTGTCTAGTTTAGTAACAAACAGACAATGATTCGGTGTGAAATCCAGGGAAATAAGCTCACTCCTTGCCAAAGGGGCATCAGTCTGGGAAACCGGTTGTGCACACAGTGGCGTGTGTGTGTGTGCAGCTCACAAGTGAAATGGTGCGTTGGAATTCGGTTGTAGGTACCTTATTCTATCATTGGAGGGTTTGACTCATACTTAGCAAAAAACAATGTTTCTTTTCTTCCATTCTTTCTTTTTACAGTTTTTTTTTTATTTTATTTTTTCCACGGACTTCTCTTTACCTAGGGTTATTTTACTATTCATCATACTTTTTAGATGTATTCACTCTTATTTGAAAGGCAGAGTAACAGAGAAAATAGGAGAGAGATCTTCCACCAACTGGTTTACTCACCAAATGCAATAGCAGGAGTTGGGCCAGATGGAAGCCAGCAGCCTGGAGCTTCTTCCAGGTCTCTCATTTGGGTTCAGGGACCCAGATACCTGGGCCACTGCCTTCCCAGGTGCATTAGCAAGGAGCTGGAACAGAAGTGGAGCAGCCCAGTGGCAAACCACTGCCCCTATGGGATGCCTTAGGTGCTAGCCCACAACACCAGCCCCTGTCACTTTCTGTTTTTTCAAAGCACTGAAGAGCACCAGTGAAGAGCAAATCTCAAAGATCCAGTGAGTTGGACCTCCGCTGGGTCCCCAACCCCAGCCTAGACTCCCCAGTGCTGAGAAGTGGCCTCTATGTTCATGGCCAAGTTGTCATGGTGACAGCATCTGACAGGACCCCAGGAGGGATTCTGCAAGGTCACAAGATGCTTAGGTATCCCATCTTCTCATGCTCAAGACTGTTTTGGAGATGCCCGTATCTTTTGTTTGTCGGAGGCAAGACAGGAAATCTCATTTTCCCAACTGAATCTCTGGCCCTGGTTACCCAGGGTGCTGACAGTCGGCCAGATGAACACTGACTGATTGTCCAGTGGTGCCAAGGCGTGTGGATGGCTGGAGTCCATCTAGGCCCCTTGCTCAGCAGTCTGATTTGTTTTACAGCTACCTAACATGAGGAGGCATTTTTTTAGGCCTCTCTGCTTCCATGTGTGAGTACTTCTGGGACCTCATGAGGTGGGGCGTGCCTGTTTGTCCCTGTAGAGTAAGTTTCCTCCCTGTGGCAGCAGCGTCCAAATTTCTCCTTTTTGATGAATGGATAATATGCCCCTGTATGCACAGACCACATTTGGTTTCCCCTGTTGATGGAAATGAATGTGCTCTCCAGCTTTTGGCTTCTGTGACTCGTGCTGCCGTAGACAGAAGTATACAGGTGGCTGTCAGAATCCCAGCCTTCAGTTCCTTTAGATGGATGCCTTGGAGCGGAAATGCTAGATCAGGTGGTAATTCTACAAGGAACTGTCTGAGGACAGTTCCTCTCCACGCTCCCCCACAATCCCATCCACAGAGTGGACAGTGTCCAGTTTTTCCATTCCTGTTATTTTTCCTTGTTGCTGTTTCTGAAAACACTCGTCCCCATGGGTGTGAAGTGGTGTCCCGTGGTGGTTCTGACCTCCATCTCCCTGCCAGCTGTGATGGTGAGCAGCATTTCCAGTCTTTATCAGACTCGCTGAAGTTTTTAAAACCTGCCTCCCTCCAGAGATGCCCTGTCCAATACAATGGCTACATCACGTTGCCTAAATTAATTAATATCAAGTAAAATTTAACAGTCACTTGGACCAGCCATATTTCCAGCAGCACTGCCATGTGTTGGGTGTGGCAGATTGAGAGCATTTCATTGTCTGAGTCCTCATGGCCACTCATAGGGCTCGTCTCACTGTACCCGTTCTTGCTTGCCTGCTCTTGGTATCCCAGCCCAGCCACCAGCATTCTTCTGCAACCTGTTGCTGCAGCCCCTGCCCTGGTCCTCTGGCTCTAACTCTTGCTTCCGATTCCATGCCTACACCACAACCCGTGGGGCATTCTAGACACAAAGATCTGAGACCGTCCCTCAGCCCTGGACTTAAGTCTAGGACCCTTGGCAAGCAAGCAGACAGGACTGCTTGGCGTTGTTTGCCGTCACAGACAGAGCTCAGTGAGTGGGTTTAGATAAAACTAAAGGGACATCTATCGGGATTGTTTTGTTGGAAGCCGTACTGCAAAATGCAGGTGGAGGAGGCAGCTGGGAGCCAGATGTGGAGGGCTTGAAGACAGACTCCAGGACTTGATGTCTCCAGGTGGGCAGCCTGGAGTCTTTGGGGA